GGCTTGGGATCGAGGCGCTTTCAATGTGATTTGGAGCGTTCAGATGGAGCCAGTTGAAACCGGCTTCGGGGTAAACCACATGTAAAGCGCCTTGGGTGACTTCACATAAACACGGCCAGAGCGCGCACGCCAACATGCAAAATGACTACTGGCAGGTTCCCACGTGGGGTCATGAGCAGATGTGAGGTTTAATCTTCTTGGAAATGTCACCCAGTTGGGAGTACACCTGCACAGCTACCACTGACGGCTGGTGTATATCTTCATCTCAGGGAAAATGTCAGAGCCGCCCTCCTACAGGCCTGACAGCTTGCCCGGAAGCTCATGCAGTAGTTAAAGCTGCATTATTTAGCATTAGGGCGATATAGAAGTTGGTATAAATTTTCTGGTCATTTCTTTATAAAGTAAGGTCAATCAACACATTGCAAATAAGTGTAATTCAGCCTGTACTTAACCCTTTTTTGCCAATTATTTTTGGCCTCTTCTAGACATAGAGCTAGAGGTACTTAAGTGAGTATAATGTAGTTATGTCAGAAGATGGCAGTGGACCTTTGTTTTGAAGCTTTGTGGATTGTAGTCGGACGGAAAGCATCTGTTTAGAAGAGAGTTTCATAATTTTGCAGTCCGGGGAAAGAAGCTGTTGTTGTAAAATGACTTGGAGACAGGTATGTTAATGGTGTATTGATGAGAACTTGAAGAGAACCTAGTGGCACGCTGAAAGGTTCTGTAAGCACATTAATTCAAAGCTGCATTATTTAGCATTAGGGCGATACAGAAGTGGGTATAAATTTTCTGGTCAATTCTTTATAAAGTAAGGTTAATTAACCCTATGCTACCCCATTGCAAATAAGTGCCATTCAGCCTGCACTTAGCCTGTAAGCATATAAATGTACAGCCTGTACTTAGCCTGTACATAAATGTACAATGAATACATAAATGTACAATAACCATTACAAATAAGTGCCATTCAGCCTGTACTTAACCTGAAAGCACATAGATGTACAATTAAGGTCTTTCATTCATTCATAAGTCAAGGAGTCATATATGTGTAATTGGGCCATTCTTATTGAAGAAGGACTTTTAAATAATCTTAAGACCGTACATGTACCTTCTTTGTAGTATTTGCTTTCAAGTAAGGCCACAGCAAGTAATATTTATGGATGACATCAGCGCGCGCATTAATTTTCGTCTGATTTTGAAAAAAAAGAAAGAAATTTTGTTACCTTCTGAAAGTGATCAACATGCCAAAAATTGGAAAAAACTGTCTGTTGCCATGCCGGAAGGTGGATGGCAGATTACTATGAAGAGAGGAAACAAGAAAAGGCTTTGATTTAATGTTTTGTTTCTTACTTTGATGCAGTGATATGTGATGCTGGCTGTGTATATGTGATGTTCCCACTGAATAAAAACCATTTGTACCATGATTGAGTCAAAATTGTAAAATGTAGGAACCTTGTTTTTTTCGGCCCACCTTGTTTTCGCCCGCTTGCATTAGATTTGGAGTCTGCGGAGCATGTCATCCATAAAATTTACTTGCTGTGGCCTAAAGAAGTTAAAATTTAGATTCGCATATTGATGTCGTGTGCATATCATGAAGTAGCGACACCATCTTAGAGAACAAACACACAAGGGCTTCATAATTTCTCTGTTTTAAATTTTATTGGTCTGTCCTCTACAGTGATTGGCTGTTAGTTCTCGACCCATACATCAACCGCAGACAAGGTTAACCAATCAGTCATTCGCTTACAGTAGTATGATTTGCTTGAAAATGTAGACCGTGTAAGTCCTAATAGCAGCAGTATAAAACTTGTCTACGCTATGTTGTAAAATTGTAATTGTTAAGTACACCACACACTGGTATTTGACGCTTTCAAACACACGATTTGTGGTTGAGTCATGCATAGCAGCTAGCAACTTCACTTCTCCCAAATTAGTCACGCTAGTGAAAACGAAGCAATCAAGGGCGGAAAAAAGTCAATATACATGAGGCCGTCATGTGGAAATATAATTGGAATTAGAAGTACAATTACAATTAGTAGTATATTCCTCAATCAGTGACTCATTTGAAAGGTAGAAACACGTACCTCCAAATTTTCGATGTCTACTGTACATCTTGATCACGGAGTGACCTAGTCTCGCGAGAACACGAGACTA